ATGATGGCATGGGTCACAGATGTGCCATGCGATTGTCAGAAGCTTTTTTTTATTACTGGTTCGCAGAACCAGGAACAATCGTCCCTATTGGTTCAGCTGAACTGGCCCAAACTGGGAGGATTTCACCCCCAAGGAAGACCAAGGGCATGGCCCCGAAGCCTCTCCCAACCTCTGCCCCACCTGGCACTTTCTGGAAAGGAGGGTTAAGAATGGGAGCCTCCCCCCACCCTGCCCGGGGGCAGCCATACGCTTCCAAGGCCGCCAGGGGAAAGGCGGCTGATGGGTTTAAGCGCCTTGAGCAAACGGGGCCCCTCCTCCCTGCCCTCTGGCCAAAGCAGGGACCCTCCCAAACGCAGCCCCCTCGGTTCCTCCTGCTGTCGTCATTTCTCTCCTGGCGTGGAGGGGAGCCGGCAGCCCAATAAAGTGGCCCTTGGACGGAAGAGATACAAAGCAGTGAGGCTCTTCTTTATTGAACGCTCTTCTACAAATCACTCGGCACCAAACGACAAAGAAACGGCAGCCACAGGGGGGAGGGACATGGGACCCATGATTCCAGGGACCGGGAGGGCAACCGCTCTGCCAATGGGGAAACCGTGAGCTTAAAACGGGCACCGTGAAGCAACAGCACGCTCGGTCGGTCGGTCGGTCGGTCGTGGGGACTTCCAGTCCCAGCCCCCTGGGGAGGAGGGGGCAAGGGGCGCACAAGTGGGGGGGGGAGGAGGAGGTGGGGGGAGCAGCTTTTCCTTCCTTTTCAATGCTGCCTACACCCACCCATCCCTCTTTTGGGGGCTTCACGGCAGACACGCTAGCGCAGACGCTGGCCCGTGTCACCTTCCACGCTCTGCCGCCCAATTCTGATCGCCTTCTGCTGGGAGGAACCGTTGGTAGCCTCTGCCTCCCTTGGCAGCGGCTAGCCTGGCGCCCCAAGGCCCGCGTGGCACAACCACCCCAGGGAGAGTCCGGGACAGCCTGCCTTCCCCTCGTGCCTCAGGAGGCCTCACGGTGGATGGACCTGGGCAGGGCCCACCCGTGGCTGCCAGCAGAGCTCTACAGCCGGACTCCAGCAAATCTGGCCGGAAGGATCGGCCCGACGCTCCTGCTCTGAAGGAGGTCTCTCGGCACTCGCCTGGGACCCCCTTCCTCTTCCCCACGCAGAAGGAGGGCTCCCCTAGCCAGCCGCCCATCGTTGGAGAAGCCAGTCAAGTTTGGGAGGAAGAAGCTGCTCTTGGCCAGTCTTCTGGGGCCACGTCAGGCTCCCCCCCAGTTTTGTGCGTGGTTCACTGGATTCACGCAGCCCCCAACAGGGTGCCTATCGGATCTCCTCCTACGGCTGGGCTGGTTGTTATTGCTGAGACTGAGGGATGCCTGACCCAGAAGCCTTGGCACCGCAAAAGGGCAGGCTGGCCACCGGATAGAGCCGCCGTGAGCCTCTGTGGGCCGTGGCTCCTTGCCTCTGGGCAGCCCACGCACCGGTCTCCGTGATGGGGATATGTGATGGGGCTGAGATCTCTCCTCGTCCTGAGATGGAGGGGAGGAAGGGAAGAGGACGGGGGGGGGGGGGCAAGGCCGACTCTAAAGCTGGTGATGCTGGTGCTGTGGTGGGACTCCCAGGCGGGTCCTGGAGCCGGTCCGTTCTCTGCGGGAGGGTCAGGTGATGGAACACAGAAAAGTCCATGCTTGATGGAATGGGGGGCGGGGAGACAGGGAATGTGGGGGGAACCTGGGCCAGGAGACCTTTATGTGTTGCGGACCCCCAGAGACTGTTCCAACTCTTGCCGGCGTTGCTGGATCTGAAAGGGGGGGGGAGAAAGCAGTGGGTTAGGCTGCAGGAGCCGCTGGGACCAAAGAGAAGGGGGTTGGGGAGCCAGCCCTCTCCTCAGCTGCCTTGCCTTGCAGTAGAAGTATCTGCTCACGGCCTCCTGGGACCACGGCTGCTGGTAGAAGTCGGCCCTCCGCTCCTCTTCCGGGTTCCCCACCACATCGGTCATGACCTGCCGAGTGAGATCACACCCCGTAAGCAAAAGCCGAAGGCGGCTCCCTTCTGCTCTCAGTGGAGAAAAGCCCCTTGCTGCCGTCCATCGCTTCCCCCAAAGCTCCTGAGCAGACCTCGGGCCCCGCGGGTCTCCCCGGCACGGCACGGCGTATTCCAAGAAAGGGGAGGCCTTGGCCACCTCAAACCACAGCCAACTAGACGGCAGGCGCCCTCCTCCGTTCATGGCGAGGCTTGAACCGATTGGGTGAGGGGAGGTGGGATTTTCAAGCAGGGTCCCAAACGGGGCGTGGGTGGCCTGAGGGGAGACGTGCAGCTCGCTGAGATGCACCGAAGGCAGGTCAGTTGCGAAATCTTCCCAAGTTCTGTCTGCCTTTGCTTGCCTACTACGAATTCATGTGCCGGAAGGTCAAAGAAGGGAGGGAGGGAGGGAGGGGCTTGTGGGCGTGGTCACCGAGAGCAGCACCGTTCAAACCTTTGATATGGTTAAGCAGGCACTGGCGCTTCTACCGTGTTTCCCCCCAAATAAGACCCTGCCTTCTCTGTTTTTTGCCACCAAAAAAAGGCACTGGGTCTTGTTTTCGGGGGGGGGGGTGTCCTCCACTGACTCCCCTCACTCGCACACATCACCCCTGGCCTTTTTTTCACTGTCGGAGGCCTCCAAGAACCACTACTGCAGCCGGCAAGGCTTTCCCGAAGGCCTCTGCAGCCCATAACAGAGCTCTGGATTGTGGGGGGGGTGTGTGTGCGAGGTCTGGCTGCAACTGTCCGAAGGCAGGGCAGCTCCACCACCCCCCATCCCCACCCTAGCTTCATTTTTGCCCATGCACCCTGCAGTGGGTGGGGTCTTCATCAGAGCTTTTCATATTGGGCACAGGTGTAAAATCAAGCTGGGACTTACTTTCGGGTAGGTCGTATTTTCGGGGAAACACGGTAAAGTCCCCCTGATTGTCCCACCTTCCCCTCCGGATGTGGAAGGGCAAAGCCCCCTCCTCCTGCACTCAGGCTACCCGCGGAGCGAAGGAAGAAGGGAAAGGGGTCTCTGCAGAGGCAGCCCAGCCCCAGAGGCTGAAGGGGCAGCTCTCATGGTCCCATCCCTGCTTGGACCCTCAAACGCCCGGAGCCACCAACCTTGAGGTCCCTGCTCTGGGAGCGGAGGAGGTCCTGGATGTAGCCCTTGGGGTCTTTGGAGAAGCTCAGCATGAAGTCCCGCTGTATCTTTAGCTGGTTGATGGACTCGATGGTCTCGTGGATCTGAAGGAAGGAAGGAAGCAGAGACCCCTTTCCCTTCTTCCTTCGCTCCGCGGGTAGCCTGAGTGCAGGAGGAGGGGGCTTTGCCCTTCCACATCCGGAGGGGAAGGTGGGACAATCAGGGGGACTTTACCGTGTTTCCCCGAAAATACGACCTACCCGAAAGTAAGTC